TCATGGTGAATTTGCCAGCTGCTTGATTCCCACTTTTATGGCCATGTACAAAACCATGCATCAAAAGCTGGAAAACAGTCTGACTTCATGGTGTACAGCACCCTCACAGTCGGTTAAAATAATCAGTGTCAGCTTAATTTTGCTGCAATTTGATGTGCTTCTTTAAGCCACAACAGGCAACAAGATTTCTAGTGATGACTACTGCTGACTTTCGTGGTTATAATGAACTATCATGTTTCAGTTAAAATATATTCCGAAAATATTTTCATCGGTTCCTGTATATTCAAACAAGACAGAAGCCACCTATTATCAGCTTCTTTTCCTCCTCCTCTGAGTGACAAAGGCTGAGATATGCCTCCTTCCTGTATCTTCATTTAAAATAGCCTGACACAAGTGTTAAGAAATTCCTAGCTCTTTGCCCATTTCACAAATAGTGCCTATTCATAAAATTGGTGACTGGGTCTCCTGTCATTCTGACATCTTTAAATTAGTATGAAATAAAAAANCCCACTTAATGTGGGGGTTCCACATAACTGAAGCACTGTAAATATATGCCTGAACCTACAGTAATTTGTCACAACATATTCATTGCACCTGCTTTCCTGCTGGGATACTACAGTAAGAAATCCAATTTTAAGATTGCGCAAGACAGTTCCAAAGTATGACTTCATGCCTATTAAAGTAAAAAAATGCAATACCATCTAAAAATGTTAACATATGAAAGTTTTTCAAAGACAAAATGATAAATTTGTTTTAAAATTGCAAATTGTTAATGTGAAGGGTAATTAAGCTTCATAATGAAAGCCTAAACATCACAAGTATTAGCTCATGGAAATCTGTTCAGCTTATGCCGGCGCTACACGATGCTACGAACACCCTCCAACGTTCGACGCTTGATAGTTTGTCGCATCGTGTGGCCGAGCTTCCAATCTACGAGCTACGAATGTCGAGCGTCGAACATTCGCGTTTGGACACGTTCCAGCCACTGTCGGTATTTCTGCCCCGAGTCAAAGGAATTCCTAGAACGTTGGGAGGAAAACATTCGTTGGTTTGATGCACGGCTACACGAGTGGGTCGAATATAGCAGTCTTATCAGGTCGTAAATGCTGTAAGGAATTCCTAGAACGTTGGGAAGACAACATTCGTTGGTTTGATGCAAGGCAACACAAGTGGGTCGAATATAGCAGTCTATCTTGAACTATCAGGTGGTAAATACTGTTTGTTAAAATAGAGTAAAAGAGTAGAAGTAAATTATAGTCATTGATCTGTATTTAACAGGTCGGTATATTTTAACATTATAATTTTAACATATTAGACGGAGTTTTAAACATTTTTAATTATTTTTTTTAATATTCTGATCGTTCAATTAGGGTGTGATTTTACAGGTTTTTAAGATGGAATGGAACACTGAATTAATTATGGAATTTATCAACTTATACGAAAAACACCCAGTACTTTGGGATCCCAAGCATTCAAATCATAAAAATCGAAACAGTTTAAATGACGCTTGGCTGGATATTGCGAGTGAGTTTAGCATTGATGTAACTGTTGAATTATTACGAAAGAAAAAAGAATCACTTATGGCCACCTATAGAACTTTATCAAGAAAAGTACGAGACTCCGAAACAACTGGATCTGGAACCAAGGATGTATATAATCCATCATGGTTCGCATATGATGCCATAGACCGCTTTATTAGGGCTACAGGAAAGAAAACAACATCGTTAAGTTCAGAGGTAATTTTATTTCATATAGTTTATTTAATAAACAAAAAAACATTGTTATCAGTCAATTAACATAATCTTGCCATTCAACTGCTCCGTTAGTTATAAAATATTCTGCAAACTCCTTTCGAATATCTTTTGCCTCCTGAGATGGTTTTCTCGGTGTTTTGGAAAGAGGGGTAAGCGACGAATTGCTGGTCTCTTGGCGCCATGTTCCTGGTTTCAAATGTCCATCTTCTTCATAATCAAAGCTGCCATTTGGGCTATATATTTGCCTAGATGTATTACTTCGCCGTAGAAAATTATGAAGTAGTGCACATGTCATGCAAACCATAGCAGCTTTTTCAGGCTGTATCAACATCGGTGTTCTAAAAACGCGGAATACAGATGCTAAAATTCCAAAAACATTTTCTACAATTCTTCGTGCTCGACAAAGGCGGTAGTTAAAAATCCGTTCAATGCTACCCTTGGCATGATTTCCAGAATATGGTTTTAAAAGTGAGCTACTAAGAGGGAATGCATCGTCACCTACAAAAATGTATGGTACGCTCTTGTGGCGCCCCGGCAGAGGTTCGTTTGGTGGAAGCAAAAGTTCCCTACGTATCATTTTACGATAGAGTGTTGTGCACGCAAACACTCCAGCGTCGTTCATTCTTCCTTGCGCCCCAACGTCAATAAATGTAAAGCAATAATCTGCATCAACCAGTGCCAAAAGTATGATGCTGAACGATTTTTTATAATTAAAAAATTTCGATTCGCTATTAAATGGAGCTTGAAGTAACACATGTTTACCATCTATTGCTCCCACACATTGGGGAAAGTTCCATCGCTGATAAAATCCATTTGCTATTCTTCTCCAATCTTCCTCTGAATGTGGCAACTAGAAATAAAACAAGGATTATGTTTTTGAAATACTTTTAGTGGCATTATATATTTTTAAAATACGTTTAACCATTTTAAATGTCTTTTTTAATGAAAATATTTTAACTACAAATATTTTTATAGGAAACCGAGATTGAGGATGAGAATTCTCAGAATGAACAGGAGGTATTGAATGATCAAGAACTAGAAGAACAGGGAAATGAGCCTAACTTAGTCCGCGAAACAAGACAAGACATTAACAAGAATCCAGAGCGAGGATATACAAGTTTTGTATTGCCTCAAAGCGCTCCAGGAAATAAAAGAAAAGTAGGCCCCAATCCAGTCGAAGCAAATTTAGCTAAGCATTTAAAGCAAGCAAGTGATGCTTTAACAACTCTTACCACCAAATCGCAAACAAAGACATTGCAAGATGCACCTGCGTTATATGGGCAGCTGTTGGCTGCTAAACTTAGAAGCTTGTCACAAAGAACTCAACTTATCTTACAAAATAAAATAGATAACCTCGTTTTTGAAGCAGAACTCAATGAAATTGATAGTTCTGGTGCTACAGGTGGGCGTTCCGTTACTACTAACGTTATTTCCCCAGAACCTAATCCATCTGCATCAAGCAGTCATTCTTCTTCTAGCCCGAACTATGTAGCTTCTCCAGGACCCTCCCATACTTTTCAAGAAAATGCCAATTTGGTTATTACTTCTCAATCTAGTGACACCTCACTCGTAACCTATTTTTCTACTGCTCATGATACTTTAGATATCAGCAGAAATGATATGTAAGATAAATAATTATGTCCATTAAAGGCAATAAAAAAATAAGAATAACAGAGTTACATATTTCTTACCCGTATCTCATCCTTTAGTACTTCAATGAGAGCCTCACAAACATTGGCGACGATGCGGCTTATGGACTGATGTGATATTTTAAATAGGTATCCAAGACTGGTAAATGTGTCGCCACTAGCCAAAAACCGTAGAGTAACTGCTAGACAGTCTTTTACTGGAATAGCTTGTCTCATATTGGTGTCTTGTTTTTTTATTTTTGGCCCAATTTTATTCAAAAGATATTCAAAATCTTCTGCTGACATTCTACAAAAGTTCTCAAATTTTCCTGAGCTTTCTCTTCGTAAATCCAGTAGCATATCTGAGCCATTGTACCTAAAATATAAGTTTTGCTACAGAACATTTGAAATCATGTGCATGAATAAACAAACATTTTATTCATCGTCATTTCATTAACGGATATTTGTTCATTACTTACCGTCCTCTGCTCTTATTTAGAGATAACATCCACCATCTTCTTGTACGTCTTTTACGTTTCTTGTTTTCAAGTAATAACTTGGCACAAGACAATACTACTACCGCTGCGGCTGCAATTGCAACGTCTGTATCCTCCATTTTAGAACTACTAGGCAAACGTTTGTACCAAACAATTTTGGTTCAAGCATTCGCCACACCGTGTAGCAGATACATTTGCCGCACCAACTGTCGAACTTATTTGACTCAAACGTTCTGCCCAACGTTGGAGCCAACGTTTGTAGCATCGTGTAGCGCCGGCATTAGAGAGATTTTCTGATATGTTAAAATGGTGATTGAAACAATCCTTCAGGTTAATTTGAAAATGTGTTCGTATTTAGGATAGCATAGTCGATATAGTGAATTGCTATGGGCTGGATGACCGAAAGGTTGGCGTTCGAGGTCAAGAATTTTCTCTTCTCCAGATCATCCAGATCGACGCTGGTGTCCACCCAACCTCCTATCCAATGGGTATTGGTGGTTTTTACCCTGGGGGTAAAATGGCCGGGCATGAAGCTGACCACTCACCTTCAGCAAGTGCTGAGGTCAAGAAACTGTGGATCTATACATACAATCACCCATATGCCTTCATGGCACAGTGCTTAATTAGTTAAGCACAGGGACAACTTTACCTTTTTACTTGCACAAACTGTACAAATACGAATCAGGAAGATGTGTAATAATTATCAGTGTAAGTTACACTGACCTCTCTATACAAGTGATGGTTTTCAAGTGAAAATGTACATTCCTCCCACAATATTTTAATTTACCTATCACTGAGTAATAATTAATTCTTTTTCCATGTTGGAAGCAAAATATTATGGGTGCTTTCCTCTGTGTCCAAACGCCTTAGTTTATCCAGACCCATACCCAAATGAATGCCTTTACATACGTGTACAACAGCTCTTAAAAATGGTTGAAAACTTTTGTCAAAATTCAAATTTGGCAAGACATATGAGACATAGTCTTAAAATGGATTTCAAACGTTTCAGTGCTGAATATCTACTCAATGCATATAAGCATGTTCTGTTGCTACACTTATAAGACAGATACACAAAATCCAACACCAGTATTTTCTTATTTCTATCACAGCATATGCGGACACAGTATGGAGACTAAAAACATACCTCATAACAAACCTCGCTGGCAGAAAGGGGCTGATAGTGAGCACCAGTATCGGTAGGGGATGTACAATAGACTATCAGTCACGGTGCATGGAGAAACCCACCCCCTCAATACTGAAGCACTGAATCATATATGTTTGAGTTTTCTTTTGGAAACAGGCTAAAAACTTATACAACTGAGATTAACACTTTTGAATATGATGCTAACATTCCAATGTTGAAACTGGTGCTTTGTTGTGCCATTTAAATTCACTATAATCCCAGGACTCTCACGCTATTTACATTAAGTATCATTTATTTCCACCAAGTTTTATTACATTAAGTAAACATGCCAGGGGAAAATTAATTTTATTTTTTTCTAATATGTTAGATGCAGCAAAGGTTTAAACCACATATTTCCACTTATATGGTCATCATCATGACTTCTGATGCTACATAATCTGAAGTTGATACAGCATTTTTAAACAGAATCAATGAATAACACCTACCTGATGTCACAGCTACTAGTTCAGTGAGATTATCCTCTACCTTCATTCTGAAAGGCATACAGGAATCTGGCAGAGCTGGGCCACCTATCTTGTAGATTTTTGCATCAGAAAAAGCAACATCAAATGAATGAGGACATACTGGTTTACGCAAACCATAGAAATATTCACACACACTTGCGTCTCTTTCTTCTGCCCGTGCTCTCTGACTGTGTTGAACAACCTTTAAAATATACAGGAAGGCTCAATATTATTCAGTTGTCATAATTCTGGTGTAAACACACCATGCGTTTG